CCCCCGGCCCGTACCCCACAGGTGGGGGTCGTCCATGCAGGAGGCGTGGTTGGACAGGGTCAGCAGGGGGGTCCCGGGACCCCTCCCCTCCACCAGCTCGTGCAGAACCTCGGCGTTGTGAACCCGCAGCCGGTTCAGGTACCCTGGGGAGGGGTCCCGGGGGGGCTTTTGGGGGGTCCCGGAGCCCCTCTGAGGTGTTTTTATGGGGTTGGGGAGGGGTCTCGGGGGGGGTCCGAGGGAGCTGGGGGGGGGATAAAGGGGTTGGAGGAGGAATTTGGGGGGGGGGTCTGAAGAGTTCTGGGGGGTCCTGGGGGGTCTAGAGAGTGTTTGGGGGGCTCTAAAAGAACTGGGGGGGGGTCTCAAGGAGTCTGGGGGGGTCCCAAGGGGTCTTAAAGGGGTTGGAGAGGGATTTTGGGGGGTCCTAGAGGGTCCTGGGGGAGTTTTGGGGGGGTCTGAAGGGTTTCAGGGGGTCCCCAAAGGAGCTGGGGGGACACAGGGGGTGCTCAGGGCTATTTGGGGAGGGGTCCCAAAGGACCTAAAAGGGGCTGGGGGGGGTCCCAAATCTACCGTAAAAACCTCAAAATATAAAAAGAACAAAACCCCCCCTCCCCAAATGTGATTGGAGGAGTTCTGGGGGTGAGGAGGGTGGGTTCGGGCGGGATTTTGGGGGGGGGGTCTCCCCCTCAGGACCCCCCTCCCGGTGTTTTTTGAGGGGGGGGGTCACTCACGGGTCCACACGCAGCTGTAGGTGCCCACCAGGCCCGTGACCAAACGGCTCGCCAGGGCCCAGCGCCGCGACGGCTCCGCTGGGAACGGCCACTGCACGGCCAGCGGCATCCTCGGGGGGGGCTGCGACCCCAGACCCCCCCCCCGGGACCCCCCAAACCCCCCCCGGGACCCCCCAAAATTCCGCCCCCCCCTCCCCCCCACAGGCCGCGCTGCCCGCCGCGCTGCCGTAAAGCGCGCCCGATGCTCCGCTGGCTGTCGTACAAGCCGCCGTCAAGCGAGGCGCGCTCCGAGCGCCGCCGCGGATCGGGAGCGAAGGAGGGCACCGGGGGGAATTCGGTGCTCACGGAGCCGTTTCGGAGCTTCCGAAACCCCCCCGGGATCCCCCCAAAAACTGCCCCGGGACCCCCCGAGCCGCTGCCGTAAAGCGCAGCGCTCGCCCCGCTGCGCTGCCGCAAAGTCGGCGGGCGGGAGGACCCGGGGCAGACGAGAGGCGCAGAGCGGAGCGGCCAAACGGGGGCGCTCCGGCATTGCCTCAACCATAGAGAGCAGCTTAAGCCACACCCCTTTTGTACGCTCAACCAATCACCGCCACCATACAAAAGGCGGGAATTATTAAAACCCGCCCCTTACCGCAAAACCAACCAATCACATCAAAGGCCACGCCCCTTCCCGCCGCTTCCCCGTCGCTAGGGAGACGCGAGCCGCCATTTGGACGTGAGGCGGTGCCGTCGCCACTTCCGGTCAGGCCTAGCCTCGCTCCCCCGGCCCAAGCGCGGCCTTTCCCCGGCCTTTCCCCGGCCCAGCCCCGGCCCCGCGGAGCTCTTGAGGCGGAGGTGGAGCGGGACGCGCAGGTAAGGCCGCCCCGCCCGCTCCCGGTGCGGTTTTTCCCCTTTTTTTCTCCTTTTTCCCCTCAGCTCACGTCGTTGTTCCCTCGGCAGGGTCCCCCCGCGGCGGCCGCGGCCGCCATGGCCGCCGTGTGGCAGCAGGTGCTCGCCGTGGACGCCAGGTGAGCTCGGGGGGCTTTTTGTGAGGGGATTTTGTCTCTGGGGGCTTTTCCTGAGGGGATTTTGTGTCTCTGGGGGCTTTTCCTGAGGGGATTTTAAGTCCCTGAGGGCTTTTGAGTCCCTGGGGGCTTTTCCTGAGGAAATTTTGTGTCTTTGGGGGCTTTTTGGGAGGGGATTTTGGGTCCCCGGCGGCTTCTGAGGAGATTTTTGGTCCCTGAGGGGATTTTGGGTTTCTGGGGTTTTTTTCTGAGGAGATTTTAATTCCTGGAGGGTTTTTTTGAGGGAATTTCGGGTATTTGGTGCCTTTGAGGAGGGGGATGCTCATTCCTGGATCCGGATTTTTGAAGGATTTGGGTATTTGGGGCATTTTTGGGGTGGATTTCTCACACCTGAGCCTGTTTTTGGATGTAATTTTATTCGTTTTACGTAGAATTAACTTAATTTCTTACCTGTACCTCATCTGTACCTCACCTGTCTCACCTGTCCTGCCAAATTCTGCACTCCTGGGTCAGGTTTTGGGTGTAAATTTCCCAATTTTGGGTGTAAATTCCCCGATTTTGGCAGAATTAACCCTATTTCTCACCTGTTTCTCACCTGTGTCTCACCTGTCCATCACCTGTATCTTGCCTGTTCCTCACCTGTATCTCACCTGTCTCACCTGTGTCTCACCTGTGTCTCACCTGTCCGTCACCTCTATTTCACCTGTATCTCACCTGTCCATCACCTGTCCATCACCTGTATTTCACCTGTCCATCACCTGTCCATCACCTGTCCATCACCTGTATTTCACCTGTGTCTCACCTGTCTCTCACCTGTATCTCACCTGTATCTCGCCTGTCTCTCACCTGTCCATCACCTGTATCTCACCTGTATCTCACCTGTATATCGCCTGTTCCTCACCTGTATCTCACCTGTCCGTCACCTGTATCTCACCTGTATATCGCCTGTATCTCACCTGTCCATCACCTGTATCTCACCTGTATCTTGCCTGTCCATCACCTGTATCTCACCTGTTCCTTACCTGTATCTCACCTGTTCATCACTTGTATCTCGCCTGTTCCTCACCTGTTCCTCACCTGTATCTCACCTGTTCATCACTTGTATCTCGCCTGTTCCTCACCTGTTCCTTACCTGTATCTCACGTGTTCATCACCTGTATCTCGCCTGTATCTCACCTGTTCCTCACCTGTATCTCACCTGTTCCTCACCTGTATCTCACCTGTTCATCACTTGTATCTCGCCTGTTCCTCACCTGTATCTCACCTGTCCATCACCTGTATCTCACCTGTATCTCGCCTGTTCCTCACCTGTATCTCACCTGTCCATCACCTGTATCTCACCTGTATCTCACCTGTTCATCACCTGTATCTCGCCTGTATCTCACCTGTCCATCACCTGTATCTCACCTGTATCTCACCTGTTCATCACCTGTATCTCACCTGTTCATCACCTGTATCTCACCTGTCCATCACCTGTATCTCACCTGTCCATCACCTGTATCTCACCTGTATCTCACCTGTATCTCCCCTGTGTCTCCCGTGTCTCACCTGTGGCAGGTACGCGGCGTACCGCACGCCGCAGCTGCCGCAGTTCCGTACGCAGTACGTGCGGCGGCGCTCGCAGCTGCTGCGGGAGCGGGCGCAGGGCGGGGCGCTGGCAGGTGAGGCGCGCCGCTGGTACCTGCGGCTGCGGGCGCGGCTCCTGGCCCAGCGCTACGGGGCCCTGTCCGAGCCCGGCAGCTGCCGCAGCGGCCTCAGGGCCAGCCGGACCACGCTGGACCGCATGGAGGTACCTGGGGGGGGCTGGGGTACACCTGGACACACCTGGGGTACACCTGGACACACCTGGGGTACACCTGGACACACCTGGACACAGCTGGGGTACACCTGGGGTACCTGGGGGTACATCCGGACATACCTGGAGTACACCTGGACACACCTGGGGTACACCTGGACACACCTGGACACAGCTGGGGTACACCTGGACACACCTGGGGGGAGCTGGGGTACACCTGGGGTACCTGGGGGTACATCCGGACATACCTGGAGTACACCTGGACACACCTGGGGGGATCTGGGGTACACCTGGACACACCTGGGGTACACCTGGATACACCTGGACACACCTGGGGGGAGCTGGGGTACACCTGGACACACCTGGGGTACACCTGGACACACCTGGGGTACACCTAGACACACCTGGGGGTAGCTGGGGTACACCTGGGGTACCTGGGGTACACCTGGGCACACCTGGGGGGAGCTGGGGTACACCTGGGCACACCTGGACACACCTGGGGGGAGCTGGGGTACACCTGGGCACACCTGGACACACCTGGGGGGAGCTGGGGTACACCTGGGGTACACTTGGGCACACCTGGGGGGAGCTGGGGTACACCTGGACACACCTGGGGGGAGCTGGGGTACACCTGGACACACCTGGGGGGAGCTGGGGTACACCTGGACACACCTGGGGTACACCTGGGCACACCTGGAAGGGTTTGGGACACACCTGGGGCTGGGGAAACACCTGGGGGGGCCCTGGACAACCCCAAATCTCTTTTGGGGGAGGGTCTGGGAGTCCCAGCTCCCGTTCTGGGAGTCCTGGGGGGTCCCACCCCCAATTTGGGACCCCCACCCCATTTTTGGGGGTCCCAACCCTTTCCCCCCCCCCAGGATTTTGAGGAGGACCCTCGGGGGTCTCGGGGGCACCGGCGCTCCCTGAGCCGCAGCTCCGGCCCGGGGGGGCTGCGGGGGGGCCCTGACGAGCGGTGAGACCCCCGGGGGGGGCAGGGGGGAATTGGGGAGGGGGTCCCGGGGGGGGTCCCGGGGGGTTTTGGGATTTTTTCGGGGGGGTTTG